TAATGACATAGTATATAATACATACACTAATCTCATATAAAGATAAAATAGTAAATTATGGTTGTATATTGTTTTCATCATTCTATTTTTCTCATTAATATCAAACACAAAAAAATTAATCATTTTTACTTTTCATCCATCCTACCAAACATAAAATGAAGGAAAATGTATAATTTCTATTTTCATTCTTTAGAGAATAGAAAGTGCATCTCTCGTATTTTCTGTTATTCCCACCAAACGGAGCATTAAAAGAGTGTCAACACTCAACAATGTCATATTAAGTGTAGATGCTCAGTTTTTGATTGAATTGGAAGAAAATTAGTTGAAGTGTATGTAAATTAGTCCAAATATCTCTTATAGTTCAACCAAAACATAATTTGAACAATACTGTGTGAACCTAATTTAAAAAATTAATCCATGTATCAAAATTATTGTAATTATTTAATTAATTGTGAATTCAAAAGTCGAAATGAATCACTACTAATTTAATAGTTATAATTATTACTTTTAATAGTAAGGTTACTAGTTACACATTTGAACGAAAAAATAATATCTCGTTAAATAAAATTTATAATCGATCATAAAAAATTTTTGAACAGTTTTAATTTCTCTTATAACTTGTTGACGAAAATTCATGGTCGATCATGAAAAATTCGTGAATGGTTATAATTTATCTTTTCAGTAGTTGTAACTTAATTTTTAAAAATCATAATTTAATTTTTGAAAATTGTAACTTTTATAATCAATCACAATACTTTGTTATTGATCTTATCATTTACAAGTTATAACTTGCACTATAAAAAATTATAATTTTTTATACTGTACCAACATCGATATTTTAGCCTTTTCCATTTTTCATTGGATGATGAATAATTTCTTCTAAATGCTAGTTTAAGTAATAACATAAATGAGCTATAAATTCAATATCATGAGTTTAAATTTTTATAATATTTTGAGGTTAGGTCATACAAAATTTTTCTTTGATGAATACTATAATTTCGGCGTGAATAACATATTTTTTTTTTCGAAGAACATTAGTTGACCATAGAAGAAAGAAAAGAATAGAATATTTTCTCAAAAGCAACACTAAAAATGGTGGGTTGGCCACTCTCGTTAATGTGATTATGAGACATGGTAAAATGGTGTACGGCCTTTTGCAAGATGAGCCCCAACGGAACGGAGCTCTTTGAAACGAGTCAATATGTTGTGGGAATTTGGTACGGATGTTGGTGGGTTTTGGGACCTACGAAACCAAAACGTGCTCGCTTTGGCCTTCTTGTTGGCAAGCAAAGACAATACGCATCATTAGTGCTGTGCTTGACACCGACAGTTTTGTTTTTTTAACAGATTCCCATGATGATGTGGCTGATCCTATGATGATCCCATGGTCCACTCGTGTGCAGGCCGTGGGCCACCCTCATCTGTTTCAATCGTTTAGATGGTCCCTTTATTTTTCAACTACTTTTTTTAGTGGCAAACACTGTTTTTGGTAGGATAAAAAAAATAAGAGGATGAAAAATTAGAAAATAAAATATTATGTTTGGTAATAAAAAAAAATAGGAAGGATAAAAAAATAGATGAATTAAATTTTTTTCCAACTCACCAAAATTAATCCCTAAAAAATCGAAAGGAAAATGAATGAAAAGTTAATTATTTGTATTAAAATATATTTTATTTGTCTATATATCTTATGTATATATTAATTTCATATAAAAATACAATGGTAAAATACGTATATATATTTTAAAAAATTTTAAAATTTAATTTTAAAAAAATACAAAAAAATATTTTAAATTAAAAAAAATAATATTTTTTTCATCTTAACTAAGGGTGAAAATTTTTGACTCAACATGACATAATTAGTTAAATTAGTTAAGTTAGATTTGACTAATATTCGACACAAACTCGTAATAACTCAACACGAATCTGACACGACACGACTCGCCTCTATTGTCACCCATAATCTTAGCTAGCACAAAAAAAAATAATAATCATTTTTATTTTTCATCCATCCAACCAAACACAAATAAAGGAAAAGTGTATCCTTCATACTTTCTATATTTGAATGATAGAAAGTTTATCTCTCATACTTTCAATTCTTCCTACTTTCCATCCTCCCTACCAAACGGAGCATTAATGAAATTTATAAAATTTTGGGATCAAGTTATACATTTTTTAAGTAAATATTAAATTAAAAAAGTGATAAAAATTACAAGTTTTAAAAGTGAGGTCAAAGTATATTTTTAATGTTTCGTTTGGCATGATGAAAAAATAGAATGATGAAAAATTAGAGGGATAAAAAATTATATGGATAAATAAAACATCAAGTTTAGTAAAAAAAGAATTAAGAAGGATAAAAAAGTGGATAAATTAACTTTTTTTCCAACTCACCAAAATCAATCCCTCAAAAATCGGAAGAAAAGTTGATGAAAAATTAATTATTTGTGTTGAGGTATATTTTATTTGCTTATATATTTTTTTATATATAAATTTATTATGTATACATCAATTTCATATAAAAATAAAATGATAAAATATGTATTTATATATATATTTCAAAAATAAATTTTAAAATTAAAAAAATATTTTTTTTATCTTAACAAAGGGGAAAATTTTTGACTCAACATGATGACACGACTCGAATTCGACATGAATTTTATGACACAAACTTTATTAACTCGAATACAAACATGACACGAAAATAAACAGGTCAACTTGTAACTTGACACGACACAATTAGTTAAATGAGTTGAGTTAAGTGTGAATAATGTTTGACATAAACCCGTAATGAGTCAACACGAATTTGATACGACACGATTCAATTGACACGATTCAAAATTTTTGTCCATACCATAGAATTACCCTTTACTAAGATAGCACTATAATTATAATTGATTGAGATTATTCATAATCAATAATGGAAATTTGTAGATCATGAATAACGTTAATCAGTTTTAACTCTATATTTAAAATATTTAACTTAATATTTAAAAATTGTAAATTAAATTTTAAAAATTATATCAAAAAAATTTATGATCAGTCATATCATTTGAACGAATAATTTATAGATTAAAAATTATTACTTAACTTAAAAAAGTTATCATTACTCCTTTCTTGGATATCTTCCTTTGATTTTTTTTTTGAATTGGCAAGAAAACTTTGTGGGTGAAAATTTTTGAAAATGGGCCAAAAATTTTGGGGTGTATAACGTGTATTGGTCTAAGGGACATCTGAAATGTACAGGTTTTGGGCTTAAGACATGGGCTAAGGTTGGCCCAAGCGTATCATTCCTATTAGTATAGAGCCCACCCAATCAATGTATCCATGCGGTTAATTTGGGCTCAATCCAAAGTATAAGGTTTTCAACCCAAGTTTGACATCAAACCGAATTCAATATGATTCTTCAACATTAGTATTACCAATATTTTAATTTTTGTACTCGAGTTGAAAAATCATGTCCAATTATGTTTTTGAGTTTTGGAGTATATAATTCGGATTGAATTCGTGTTCAACTCGAGCTAAACTTTGAGTTTAATTTGGCTCAAGTGGGACCTTGGAATTCATTAGATAGGGTTGGGTCCAAGATTTTTGAGACCCGACTTAAGTGTAAAGTGGGTCTGAGGTTTATTACGTTGATTACTGTATCGAACTCGAATATTGTATTCCATCAAACTGGGATATTGGACTGTGGACACCATCGTCCAAACAAGTTCCGCGTTGAGGATTCAATTCGCCCAAATTACGCCATTAGGCCTGGAGTGTGTACCACCCGAACCACCCGGACCAGGCTCCAAAGCAAAATCAATTTTGAGAAAGCCAAGAGCACATAGAAGATCCGTACAGCATTAAACTTCTATCAGAAGTCTAATTCGCATTTGTAACTCTCTCTCTCAGACAAATACTCTCGCTCTGGGTCGACATTCTCGCCAATGTCACGCTTATTCGTCTCCTATTTACCTCTCATTTTCCAACATTAGATTGATCTCGCCGTCTCCAGATCGCTCGAATTCTCTACGACTCTCGATTCGAAGTGTTTTTCTTCTGTTCGAGGTGATGTTAATCATTATAAATTGATGAATATATATATAATATAATATAATATATATGATACATGTATATTTGTATGTGTATGTATCTGCATTTCACATTGTTGTGTGAACTGATTTTCGTGTTCTCTTTTAATGGTGGAGTTGTTCAACACTACCGTTCATTGATTTGAATTGCATGTGTCAGTAGTTGGTTTAGAAGTAAAATGCATTTGTCTGCTGTATTATCGACACTTATCCGTTATTTTTTTTCAATTGTAGACCAAATTTGGGTGATGGGAATATAATGATTTGACCCTATAAGTATAACAAACATTGTGTTAGCAATGCTTATTTACTATTGCTCTTTTTCAAGCCAGCTAATTGAGAACTTGTAGTGCGTGGCTGAGATAATGATCTTCACCATTTGACACATAATACCAAGTTGCCTTCTGTGTGAAGGTCATAATCAACTTAACTATGAGTGGGCGAAGACTAAGAAGAAAGAGCAATGCTGTAGGGACCAAAATTTTGTGGAGTCCACTTCCAATCCGATATGTGTATTGAATTAGGTCTCAAATTAGGTTCAAATAGCATTTTCCAAGAAAATATGAACACTAACTTAAAAACAATACAACATCACATGTTACATTTCTGGCGGCATATAGGATCAAACTTCATTTTTAAAAAGTATTAATCAACCTTGAAGGAAGCATTGTGGTGATATACCGTGTGGTCATGTTGCTAATGGCGCCAATGCTTTATGTGGTCTTTGAGCATATTGGGATGTTTATGTTCGACTTTGTTCCCTCGTTCCATTTTCTGCATTGTACTTGCCAACCCTTTTAGTCGACATAGTTTGTGAGATGCATCACTTTGCAGGGATTTCATCTAATGTGAGCTGATATTTGCCTACAGTTTACATGTGTGCAGGTCGTCTGAGTATCAATGGTATGCTCACTTGGAAGTGGGAAAATGGCAGCCATGGCAAGGCTTCTGGAAGCGGGAAGTGTTTCTCAAACCATTGCAGGTTGACATATTACTGGGTTTAAGACTATAAGCTTGTATCTAGTACTTAAAAACTGTTTGTGTACCAATTTATCACATGTGAAAGATAAGTGGTCAACATGGAAGTATCGAATATGTGAAAGATATGTGGTCAACATGGAAGTATCGAAAATGTGAAAGTGCTGCGAAAATTAAAAAAAATGGAGAATGACAGGGAATATAAAGGGTTTTAAACTATGTAGTGAATACATACAACATATGAAACGACGAAGACTGAAATTTTTGTGCATTGAGGCACGAAATCACAGCAGCACGTGGTTTCTAAATAAATATGTTTGTAGACAAAGCAGAAATGAGGAAGAGGATTAATTAGTCAACCCCTAACGGCTGGGATGTGGTTTTTTTGAGTTGAATTGAGATGAATTAGAAGGGTTCTCTTGCACTGGTACCCCACTTTACTGGTTTACAAAGAGCAGGTGAGGTACCTGCAGAACAAGCACATGTATCTTGTCAGCTTCTCATTGTAAATAAGTTCTTGTGATGTACTTGTCCTTGACAAAATGTAGGAAATTGAACCCTCCATCTATACCACTCTTGCCTCTACACAAAACACACTCACACATGCACACAAAAGCCCTTTGTTCCTTTTTTTATTTATTTCCCCCCCTTTTTCACTTCTTTCCTCTCTTTTATTTGTTTTGTTTTTGAGGTGAAGACAGAACTGTGAACATATGTTTCCATGTATTTGTGGTTAACTCTCCCTCTTCACATGTGCGCCCACACCCACACACACAACATTCACGTATGGATGCCACTCTCACTATGTTAATACATGCATATATTTTTTGGAATCTACTTCTGGCATGTAAAGAACTTCAGTACTAGTCATATGTAGCTCATATGGGATAATATGCGTAGTTTCATATGTATTCTGTCAAGAATGAGGATGTCCTCAAAGAGACCAAGACTGGCATTTGCAACAAATTTAAAAGTTTATCCTGTTTTTACCAAGCAGAAGCTTTGTTATCTCTTTATCAACCCCCTCCCTACTTTGATAGATGGAGTTGGCCACCCGAAATTAGCTGCGCAATATATTCTCAGAGAATTAAGAGAGGCAGATGAAGCAAATCTTGTTGATGAAGAAGGTAAATATGTCAACCTTTATTCAGACTTGCATACCTCCTTAAATAAGAAAAAAAAGGAAAGTATAATGCAAAGTACAATGCGTGAAGGACAAGAAAGAAGGTAAAAAGAAACTGCAGAGCATGAAGGATTAGGAATCCTCCCTAGATAAGGGAAAGAATGAATTTGCAACTCAAAGAGGATGGAGTACAATCCACATGACATAAGCAAAAAAAGAAAATTGAATGCTCTAATATTCTCTGTAGCACGGGAAATATAAATAGCTGCAGCCCCCAAAATGGCTGTGGAGCCTAAAACGTATGTGGAACACAGTGTTGGGGAGTACGTACACCTCCTCCAATGTGGAAAGTTGTTGGATTGCATTCTACCGGACTCCATCACTTTATTAAGGCACTGTCTGTTTTTGTTGTCAGCCTTGCTTAAAGTACGATTACCAAAATAATAGTGTAGAAAATCATTGATCGGATTTTGAATATGTATCAATCTAAATTCAGACCAACACATTCACATTTCTTGGTGTTGTGACTTTTCAACTTCTTTGATGGTTTTCTCCTGCAGATATGCATGTATTTGATTTGAGGCCTATGACAGATCCTTTGCATTTGGTAAGGTTCAGAAAATCTTTTTTTTCCAATGTGAATTTTCGAATAGCGAAAACATTTGGTTTCATGACTGTTGGATAAGGATGCATGTCTTTTATAAATCCACTTCCTACCAATGTGACCCCTGGTGGAGTGCATTTCCTCTATGTTTGCATAAATAAAAATCAAAGATATGTACTCCGATTTAATATTTACACTTCGTTTTTTGCCACGAGTGTTTTGTGATTATGCAGGAACCCAGTGAAGGTGCTAGAAAAGGCAATACTAAATTATTTATAAGTTGCCCAAATTGAGTTATTATGTATGTGCACGAGAAATGTCTAATAAAAAGGTAACCTGAACATATGGGACTTGCCAAAACTTATGCTAGTTTGCTGATTCTCAATGCAAAATACTTGACTACATGTGCCTGAACCTCCATAAGTGTGAACTGCATATTTAAATTCCCTGCGCCATCCAATGTCAGTTTGGTTTAGAGGTCATATGGATGTCTTTTCCAAAACTACTTCTACATCATATGTTGGTTTTAGATAGTTGCTAGCCTATCTGAAACTATGGTGGATCTTTTATCCTTTATTCCAGGATGTAGGTTGAACTTGAAAAACAGGTAATATTGCAAAGAGTTTAACCGGTGCAATTGTGATGATGATAATTGAAAGAATTTTATGTCTTTCCTTAGTGTCTTTCATGCCTGTATGACATCATATTGGAATGGCATTATCTCTGTCAATATCAGTTAATTTGTTATAGAGTATTTTGCTTTTAGATACAAAGAAAAGTTGTCTTTGTCTGATGAGAAAGTCAATAGCAAACTTTACGGACAAATTTTTCATGACATCAATCCCACATTTTCTGTATAGGTATAAATTGAGACTTCATGCTCTCTTAGTTTACCGACTTTTTAATATTGTTTGAAGGTGCGTTGCAATGCTTGTAAGAGGCCAGTGAGGGCTAGCCAATATGCAGCTCATGCAGGTATCATCTTTTCTACTTATTTCTTGTATTTGAACTTTTGGTGCTTTTAGATACAGGTGGTGTTTTGCCCACATTTTCTCTTAAGTCAAACACTGATGAGGAGGAAAAGATGAAACTGCCATCAAGTTACTGCATAAAATTTTGAAAAAATTGAAGCTACCCTCAATTTATCGATTTCTAGTATTATTAAGAAGTTTAGTAATAGCAATGCAATTATATTCATTTGTTGGACATGTAATTTTGGATCAAGTAATGGCGTTGACTCCTCTTCAAAGGCAAAGGCAATCAGTAAATCTAAAATAAATGTAGGGGGAAGATGCTAGATTAACCTAAAATTTTCAATGGTTGACTTCTAGCTAATTGTCTAGAGATATTTAAACAGAAAGAATAAAGCTTGATTCTATTCTAAATTATCTGTGATGAAGTTGCAATCATGTCCTAGGAAGCACGGACACTTCATTTTGGGCAGAGTGTCGGTGTCGGACACGTCTGGGACACAGACATGCTTCGGACACGTTAAAATGAGTGTCCGATTTTTTTATTATTAAATGTTTTTTAGGACACGTGGCCGACACGTTCAGGACATGTTGGGACACGCTGGGAGACACGTTTTGAGATTTATTTTCAATTTTTTTGAGAACATTTTAGATAATTTTATAATTAGGAGTTATTTTTATAATTTTAAAGGGATATGAGTCACAATTATAATATAAAAGAAGTTATAATAATTACATTGAACATAAGACATGAATATAATATAATTTTGGATATGAATACGAACTTATATACAAATGGAATAGTCTTTTAATATGAAAGTAATGTGAGAAAAAATGGGATTACAAAATTTGAGCTCTTGGAATTTGATGAAAATTAGTATTACGAAATGAAATATTTTTAAAGTAAAAGTTGTAGAAGTCATTGATTATTGAATTATGGATGTTAATATTGTATGTGTATTAATATATCTTATATTATACTTTTCATGCAATGATATCATGATGTAAATTTTTAGAATTAGAAAAATAATGAATTAAAATATTATTATGATAATATTTTTATTTTATCACATGATTTTATATAAATATATATATATATATATATACATATTATTTAATGTATCGCTAACGTGTCGGCGTGTCCGTGTCGTGTCGTATCCGTGTCCGTGCTTCTTAGGTCATGTCTATTGTTAATCTTTCTCAAACAACATTTTGGCAGATTCTTGATTTGTTTTCCCTGTCTCTAACTTGACAACAACAATCATTTGTTGGTTCTGCCCTTCTTAAAGAGTAACTGAACTTGGCAAACATTTATATTCACATTTTAGAATCATTTATCATCATTCTCATGCAGACCAATCTAATTTGTTGGCTGATTGTCTCTTTGATTTTGCATATTTATATTTCCTCCATAAGTGTCTCTTTAATTTTGATTCAGCATGGTTTCAAGAGTATTGCAGCTAGTCCAAGTGCTATATAGTGTCCCTATGTACATAATCAAAAGAAAGTAAGGGCTCAATGCTGAACCCTGATATGGTGATATTGATAAGATATTCACTTCTCCCTTCGCAGATCATTCTCATGATATTCACATCCCCTTATTATGGGATAAGTTGACTGTTGAACATTAGAAACCCATGCTTTCATGCCTGGACATTGACCCAAGCTTGAATAGACGATGTGATTGTTATATTTTCATCTATACGTGGTGTTGGCTGATAGGTTTCCAATCCTTTTTAGTTTGCAGTTTGAACCTCCAATTCTCAAAGCATTGAACTGTTGACTCTGGTGGTGGTGCTACACTGACATGGGTTCTTTTGTTTTCTTCTTTTCAGAGATTTGCAAGTCACTTAGTTTTTCAGAAGAACTTATGTCAGAGCTTGATGGTGGTAGAAAGAAAAAGAAACCTCCACGAAAGGAGAAGAAAAAGTCATTAACTGCTTGTGCTGGTATCCTTTGCATTTCTAGACTTTTGGAACAAGCTTTGACAGATCGACTATGATACATAAGCAATATAATTATCCAGAAAATGTTTGTCTTAGATAATGTCCTTTTAAGTTGAGTTCACAAATCATCGTAAAAGATTATCCCCAAAAATAAATCACCATAAAGTTTTCTGCGGTGGCTGGTTTAATTGTGAGTTACTTAAATCTCTTTGCTGGAAAATGATGTATTATCCTTAACCCTTCCTACACCTAACTATGTCAGTACGGGAACAAGAAAGGCCTGTATCATTAAATGCCAATGACAGTGCTGCATCAAAATTCCATTTGGATGAGCAAATTCAAGCAACATCTTCCTTTGGCTTGGATGCAAAATGTATCTTCCTTATTCCATAATCTTTTGTTTCTTTTTCTTTTTCACTTCATGATATTTCCTCATGAGCATTTCTGCTTTCTGGTCATGATTGGCCATGGCACTGGTACTTGGTAGTCATGTGTTCCGAGTCATTATGTTGATCTTGTGTTTGCCAATTGAAAATTATTAACCCTTGAATGGAATATTAGCTATGTTGCTATTTCTAGATTGGAATCGTCAATTGAAAAATAAAGCTACTTGCATACTAGCAACTAGGCATGCCCTTGGGCAAGTCGCAAGTGGCAGAATTCATGTAGGCCGGGCTAAACATCTAATGAAGACATCACAAGGGAACTTATTTATTTATTTATTCCATTTTTGAATATGTTTCTCTATTTCATTTCTTGTCCCCCCAGTGCGCAAAAAAAAATCTCCTGTTAATTTATTTTTGATTATTTTGCTCATATGTGACTCATGATTAGGGTTTAGCACTCCTGTGTGTAGCTTATTCATACATGACTAGAATCTGGACTTCTCACTTCCACATTTTTTTAAAGTTAAGCCAAGAGGATTCCAAAATTTATGTTCTTCTCTCCTACACATATATCCCATCTCTGTTTGAGGTTTGTTTGACCATATGAGGTGCCTCTGGTATTAGATGTATATGGTTGCATTCGTTACCTTTACATGTGGCTTGATCTACTATAGACAGTTATGCCTCTTCTTTTTTTCAACCTGTGCCGGCTAATACTTCAAATATTTATCTCACCATTAGCCATTTTTTTTTTTGTTCAACTGCTCCACCCAATGCTGCTGTGTATAACCGTATACACTTTTTCAAGGGCCCTGATGGGGGATACTGCAAGTCTGCACCTGTTAAAACCAGTGATGTGTATTCCATTTTATCTTTTCGAAAGAATTTGTTTTCATATGACATCTCTTGATTTTTTTTTTCTTTTTGATCATCTGATTTTCTTGTAAATTTATTTGCTTCAGATAGTGGGCACTGAATGTGCAGATCACCTATTTGCTGTATTTTTTTGTTAATGTTGCTGGGCAAATGATTTATTCATCTGTAGCTTGTTCTTCATCCGTTTGTTCAGGCAGAGAATACTGCAAAGGATCAAGTGCACAAAATGAAAAGCCTTGTGGTCATGATGTTGGGTATCAAGTTCAAATACCTAGGCAAGTCCATGGGTGTTGCTTACCTGCCGAAGGTATCATTCATTTGCAGTGACTCAATCTGCTTAGTCTCTTGCTTTCGTTTATTTCAATAAAAATTGAAAGGTCATGTTTGCTCAGATTTTCAGAACATATAGCTGAGTGGTGTTACTTTAAGAAACCGTGGACCTTCATTAACTTATTTCTTTTTTATTTACTCATTTCTCTAACGTTTTGTTAATTACTGTATAGCCATAAAATCAGATATTCCAGTTCCCCTTGCCACCAAAGTGTTCTATTCTCAAAGTAATCTTCGTCTGCGGTCTGCACTTAGTCATCTTTATTACGAGGCATCAGCCAAGGAACATTGCAGCGACTTGCTAAAGGGAAATGCAATGCCTTCATGGAGTTCAACTCCTAACAACTTTTCCCATGAGCAAAATGATGACCAGCAGGAAAAGGTTTGTCGCTTTTGTTCACTCATTCACTCATTACCGCTTAGTAGAATGGTGAATGCCTCTTCAGTATCTTTTAGTGGGTTATCAAGTGTCATGTATTGATACAAGCAAACATGGGCATATGGCATTGCGATCTTTATCTATTTTTCATTGTTTGTTTGGGTTCTTATTGTTGTCCTATGTTCAATTTTAAAAAGGAGGGGTGGGGTTTTTGTTTCATCTTTGAAATTTCTGACGTCTATAAATCTCAAAATTCACCTATTCTATGTGTGGGTTGTTGAAAAGTCGTGTTGCCTATTACGTCATAGAGCTTGTGAATTGCACACCTGAGTATGAGTTAAATTCCATAGCCTTCCAAGATTTGATTTTGCTTTCAAATGGTGGTGTTAACATGAAATAGGTGTTGCTTTGCAGATTGTTCCTTTTGAGGGATCTTAATTTATTAGGAAGTCCAATTCTTCATGTACAAAAGAAGTTCCATTTTCACTTTGCCTCCTGAATGATGGTTATTTATTGCCCTTTTACTATGATGCTAGAATATGTTTTCTGACCCTAGTAAATAAGCTCTTTTTTATTTGTGATGCAGAGGATGTTTTAAATTCGTTCCCCTCCTGTGATTTAATCACGAAAAGTTTTCCCTGATGTCAAAACATTCGCCTGGATTCTAGCCATCAAACAAGATCAACAGCGCAGGAAGACTCAACTGATGACTTTTGTACACTGTAGGATGATTGCAGAAGCGTTTCTTAACTTGTATGTCAACTCTCTAGTTTCTGCTTAAGATTCTTGGGGAACTTTGTTTTGCGAGATAGGAATTAGCTGATTTCACCCTGATGGGTCTCATATGCTCTTGAGATTGATTCCTAGGCTTGTTTAGAATCTAGATGCTAGGTACTGCAGAAGAGACTTGCTACCAATTTACCATTTCCAATATACATCATTGTCATATCTTTAGATCGTATGTTAAAAAAGGGTAACACAACTTTTTTGTTTTTTTTTTCTGAACACATCAAAGCAGAGATCATGCCAGGTTGATGAGATGGATTAGTTGGAAACATTTCTATTGTGAGTCGGTCAGAAAAATTATCCTATGCATTACATTTGTTTTGACTTCATATGCCACCATTAAATGGTCAGATAATTCATCTGTACAGGTAAATTGTCAGTTTTCAAATAATTGCCATATAAATGCCTCTTCATTGTTATGCACCTGCTTGCTTGAATTTTGTTTTGTGAGGCAATCAAAAATTCAGGGTTATTTTTTTGATACTTATGTTGCTACATATCCTTCCCTCATGTTAAAATAATTGAAGTCGTCTTTGCTTTTGAAAAAACAGAGACAAAAAATCCCCCTGCTGTGCAAAACTGAATCGAATTCTTGCACAAAGTTCAGCAATATACTTGGGTAAGTCAGGAGGATGTCTTGCAGCCACGAACTTTTCAAACCAGTTTCCTTTGAATAATATCTTAGGACCTCATACATCTGTTGGAATGATGAGAACCAATAATCTTTCAAAACTCTACTCTTTTGCTGGCAAATCAGGTAATCTCTTCTTAATTCCACTGTAATGTAATCTGCTTCTTGTTTTCAAATCATTATATATCTCTCAACATTCTCTAAATGTCAATCCGCAGAATGATTTCATTTGGTAGATCTAAGCAAAGACTACAATGCATTTTTATTATTATGATTTTATGTACATAGGTGGAGACTTGGAGTATATTCAACACATGTAGGCAATAAATGCCATTGTATAAAAACACATCCATATTCAATATACAATACTACATGATCGTGGATGGATATTTTTTTGGGTAGGCCTGGGTGAAGGAAGTAGATTGGCATTTATGTGGTTTTCTCCTCTTTTTTTCCCCCCCCCCCCTTCTATTAGGTTGTCATGATCCCACTGTAGCATTTTAATTTTTCTCTTTTTTTTTTTCAAAATTTCTTGGTTGAGGTCCTTGGGGAGTTAGGCAGGAGCATGTTTCTAGATAAATCATTGGTCAATCTTTATTATAATCTTATCTCATGCCTGCATACCAGTTTACAAACCGCGAAGGCACAGGTTGAGTTGATTAGCCACTACAAGGGCCAGTTGGGGCTTGCTAATATGACGGTGCAGTTTTAAACCTGAGTTGGGTCTGTGCCTGCTGTCTGGTTTTTTTTTTTTCGTTTCGATTTGTCATCTGTTTAAATATTTTGATGCTCGTCAATGTTTGTTGTTTTGAACTTTTCCCCCCAAACCAAGCAGATGTACAAAAGCACATAGAATATAGGTTTTGAATATTTATAATTGGGATGGTCGCCTCCAGCGAACATATGGAGATAGGATTTAGTGCTATAAAATTTTCAGCCCAAGCCAGGTTCCGATTTGGAATGTGGTGGGATTGGTCTTACTGATGTCAATTTTTGGGTGGTGCTTCATTCTACAAAGGCCACACAATATACCTGGTTCTGCTCATCCTTATAGCAAATTTTACAATATGTCTTCTGACCACAGGAGTCGTTGATTTTGTCAATCCGGCAGACCAAGCTTTTCGACTACATTGTTACATTCCGCTCCAAATTGTAATATCACAGACTTGTACATTCGGCATGTGTAACTATGTCCCTTTTGGTCTACTCACATTAACTTGAACTCATTCAATTGACATGTTATTTTTGAGTGTTTGCTCGAAAGTATTCCTGACCACTCATCATTAATTAGTCTGACTATCCTCTTTATATCCAGCCTCAGTATTGCTCTTTCGAACACATTTCTTTTTCCTCCTGGCCTTGAAGGACTTGCTGCTTAACTTGATCCAGGGCATCAGAGGGCCATTTGGGTCAGATTTTTCATTCTATTGACATTTTTTTCTTGGGCTGGGGCCTGATCCTGACCTGCCTATTGTAATTTTTTTTATTAGTGTTTTGTTTTGTCATGAGTCTACATATCTGATTTATTCATCTAATTTAGTGTGGCGGTGTTCTTTTGTTTTCTTCGGAAAGGGTGAGGCTCTTTTGTTGATAATAGGCTAGTTATATACATATATGCCTCTATCATTTTTGTATCTAAAATTTGCTGCATGCATTGTGGGAACTATAACAAGAACAACAATGATGTACCATCGTTACCTTACTGTCCAAAATCAGTGACATGATATATATACATATCTATATATGCCTCTGTCATTTTTCTATCTCAAATTTGCTGCATTGTGGGAACTATAACAAGGAGAACAATAATTATGTACCATCGTTACCTTACTGTCCAACATCAGTGACACTGTTTTATTTGTATATATTTTGAGAATCTTCATACTGGCGAGTGTAGTTTTTCAATTGAATGATTGTCTCTGGTTTTGTAGGAAGGCCACTAAGGAGACTGCATCAATCTAAAGGAAGTGTTCCTGTTGTATATGAGTTCTGGAGGAAAGTTTTGGTAGGTAAAGGTGATCTTCTTTTTTACCCTAATTATGAGAATAGGGTATTACTTCACAATTAGCAAAGCAAAATATAGGATGATGTTCATTCTCGCTATTTACTAAACTCTACAGCTTTCTTTGTTTATATTTTGTCAGAGATCAACAAATTCTAGAATTGCTCTTTCTCTTAATTCAATTACAGCTGGGACAAAAGTCCGACTTTCAGCTATTCTCTTTCCCCCTCCCCCAATTCTCACATTCACCTATTTTAGGTCATGTACCCATTGGTAATTACTGCTAGCTGACAATAATTAGTCGGGACAAGACTTTGAGGCTAGTTTTAGTAGTTATAGCTCTTATTCTTTCACAGATTCTGTTAACTCTTGGGAATGAAGAGTCTCGTAAATACAGCACAATGTGCAGATCACCTTCCATGAAGTTTTAGTCTTTCTTTACCTTTTGAAATTGACACACACACCTCAGGTCCTCAACCTTTTGTAAGCTGATGGGACTTTTCTGAAAAACTCCATGAGGAAGACACGTGTCTNCCTTCGTCTCCTTACGACGCGTGCCCTCGGTGTCAGAAGATCGAAGGCTGGGGGGCAGTTGATGGGACTTTTCTGAAATACTCCATGATGAAGACACGTGTCCTCGGTATTACCAAAACACTGTTGCTAAGATCAAGCACCATCGGCTCACAAAGGTCCCTTGCTCCCGAGGTACTCGTCATATGGGATCATGGCATTCAGTACGTTACAACCGACACGTTGCCTCGGTCTGATATGGTGCCTCGGTCGGTATACCTCTCTCGGTTTTCGAGATGTGCCTTTCCTCGGTGCCGAGAGGTACCCGTCCTGGATGCCTCCTCTGCTCCAGAATAAGCTATTGACGTACAGGTCATTAGCCTAGGCTATTAATCATGACCTCGTCTTACACAATTGGTGTCAGAACGCACAGGAATGCAGGGGCCACAGCCAATGGGAGATGGATGCGTGGCATATGATGTCACATCAAAGACAGAAAAATCGCATGTCGTTGTNCTCGTCTTACACAATTAGTGTCAGAACGTACTAGAATGCAGGGGCCACAGCCAATGGGGGATGGACGCGTGGCATATGATATCACATCGAAGACAGAGAAACCGCATGTCGTTGCTGACACGCGACTTGGGAAAACAAACGATTAATTACACCATTCCCTTGATGAGACTGCATTCAATGCGGTAAGGCTCGGAAATGAAAGACAATAAATGTTCTTAATACAGAGCATTTATTGCATCCTCCCCGAGAGGAATTCATTATACCGTCGGCATCCCGATGACGCAACATTGATTGTTCAGGACCCCGAGCAGTTAAGAAGAGAAGACATTCCTCATCAGAATCAGTGCGCACACTGCCTGTACCTAATGATCACCTACTGACTACACTGACAGCAATCATGAGCTTTTGAGGTATAAATACTCCTTGCAAAAGGCAAGACGGGTATGCAACAAAAAACTCTTTACTACAATACACACTCAGTGTTTTCTCCTCTCTCTCTCTCTCTCAAAGACTGACTAGATCGTCGGAGGGGATACGCCGAAAAACACTCCGGCGCCCTTCTAACTTGTTCTAGGAACCTTTTTTCCAGCCTTACTGGATCGTTCTTTCGCTCCCCCAGGGTTTCTCGTTGCCGTTCCAGGTTACCACCGGACCTCGCAGACTGTTCTAAGCAGCGTGGTTGGCCACTCAACTGACTCACTCGAGTTCACCAAGGGAGAGATCTGTTCTCGTTTTTTATATTGTGCAAGATCCTGCACGCACAATCTGGCGCCGTCTGTGGGAATCGACTAGTTTTCCTAGTTTTTTCTCTATAAAGAACAGTGACCATGGTGAACACCCGACAGAAAGGGAAAGACCCCCACCAAAGGAATCTCGAATTACAAGCTCCCTGTCACCACGGAGGGAGGGATCACACCGATATGAATAAAAGTGTCTCTACTCAGTCAAGAGGGATTACCCCTCAAACCAGTATGGGAATCAAGTCAGGGGGATCAGCCCTCTTGGTTCGTCAGCTGGCGGAGGTGATTGAAGAAAAGTTTGGAGATAGATTACGACAGCTGGAAAAAGACAATGTAAACGTCCTAAGCCGGCTCAACGAGTTTGCCGTCTCCGCCGAAGGGTCGAGGGATTCATTCCTTTCTCGTGGGCTTTCCGCCCGGGAGGCGGAAACGAAGGATCTAAGAAATCACCTAAACAACAAAGCAGAAAGCTCTAGGGCCCCCAAAGCGATCCAGAGCCAGCGAGCATCATCATGACAACCATTCAAGGAAAGCAAGGCCATTGGCCCTGGACGACCTCCGGCGAGGTTTGTCTAGACGGAGGAAGGGAGATGAATCCGAGGAGGACTCAACCCAATCCACACGACGCCCAGGAAATGAGGGGCTTACC